GCTGGCTTGTGGTTGGCACGGTTAATGTTCAATAACAGAAGCTCGCGAACCGGTCCTTAATTGCCATGAGCACGACCATCAAAACCATGTGCTCACAACCCACCATTAGACAGGTTTTAATTATCAATTGATTACCATAACACGATTAACCGTCGTGAGCTACCATTAAATAAATCCATCAATAATTATGTAATGCAATCCATCCCATTAATGAGCTAATGTTTCTAAGCATGGCTAAGCAATTACGTATATAGCATTTAGCTGAACCAAACCAATATATAAGGTTCGAGCTAATCAATTTATTACCCATAGGAAAATAAATTCATCTTCGGCTAATTAACTGGGAAAAGCTCACCACCCGATGACATTTAAAAATAATGCATAAGTTGAAATAAAACATTAGCTTTAAATAGGTTCAACATGCTCAAAGGGTTGTTTGGGATCTGTGTGACTTGCCTTGAGCTTCTTCAAACACTTCTGAACCTTTCTCAACGAAAACACACTCCTCAGGAACGTCGGAAACTAAAGCAAATGAACAAAATCAACAAAACAGTAAAAAACAAGCATAACAGTACATGTGGATATTTTTAACGTGTAGATCTCGACTTTATATGAATTTAGCAACTTGAACCACTTGAATCCGAGTTACGATGATTTAGTTATGAATTTTCTAAGTTTAATCGATTGTCATCTAATACATAAAAAACTAATAAAAAGATTTATGACGTCATCATGACGTCATCGCCGGCCTAGGTTCGGCACCATGCGACCACCGGCGATAGAGGGCTCAGCCGGGCTATCCGAAGACACCTATGCGAAGAGGACGATGACGCGAACTCACCGGTGTGAAGAATGACGACGGACGACGATGAACGATGGCTGGCGGCGAGGTCCCACGGCGGCACGGCTCGGCTCAACGTCGACGAAGGCCCTCTAGTGGTTTGCGACGGTGATGATGGGGTGGACAGGGTGCTCCTCCACCTCGCGAACCCGGCGGTGGAGGCCAACAGCGACGACAGCGACGCTAGCGGCGGCGGTGGCTCTAGGGCTACGCCGTGGCGGCGCTTCTGGCAATGGCGGGGCTCGGGACTTGAGGGGAAACGTAGAGGGCGACTAGGAGATGCTTTATATAGGCTTGGATTAGAGAGATCGGACTCCAAACGAGATGATTTGAGCCGGAAAATCCTAGGGTTAGTTTGGAGAGATAAACTCGAAAATGAGTTTGATTCGGATAATATACAAAGCAATTAGCTCCGATTCTTGGGGGAAAAGATAGAGGACATCAAAGGGATAAAAACCCCTCAACTAATCGGACGCGAGGATGGCCGGTTGGGGCGGATTTGGTGGGGGACAGCGGCGGCTCGGACTCGGCTGTGGCCGGCCGGAGGTTGAAGAAAGACCCGACATGTGGGCCCCACATGTCGGCGGCTGAGAGGAGGGAGGTGCGGCAGCTCGGCTTGGGCCGCACGGCCGCGCACAAGGGAGGGAGATGTTGGGCCGAAAACGGCCCAACGGCTTAGGGGAGGATTTTAAAAACTTTTTCAATAAAAATAATTCGTGAAATGATGTTTCATTTATTAAAAATACTTCCCTTGCCCAAATAATTCCTACAAAAATCTAGAAAATAAATTAAGAAGCAAAGTATTTAATGAAATTTTATCTAGCTCAATTTTATGTTGCACTTTTTCCTAGATTATTAAGGTTTAACTTGGAGGCTTTTAAATAATTTCTAGAAAATGGATTAAAGAATGAATTATTTAACCCGAGCGCCCAAACCCCCAAGGCGACGACTCGCGATGACAATGGTGCCCCATACATAAGACAAACAAGCATGCCATGGAGGATTGCCATGTCTTCAAGACGGAACTTGCACGTCAACTGGCGATTTAGAAGGGGAAGCGAATACGTGTTGTCGAAGCGGCCGCTATTGCAGCCACCCCCGACTCCGCCTCCTCATTCCCAGACTTCGACCTACATGTTCGCATATCTTTGGCGGTTCTACATCATACTCCTCGAAGAGGGAATATAAGAAGATAGAACGTGAAGTCTGCTCTACATCACAGGGGGCTGCTACCAAGATGAAATGGTCCCAGCACAAGATTGAGTTCTCTGAGGCGGACCACTCGAGGATCGCAACCACACCTGGCAGATATCCGATAGTGGTCGAGCCCACTATTCGGAACATAAAGGTGGCATGGGTTCTCATCGACGATGGCAGTTCTATCAATCTTCCTTTTGCTAGCACAATTGATGCAATGGGGATCCCACGAAGCGAGTTGACGCCCGCAGATCAACCTTTCCACGGGATCACTCCAAAATCGTCATCCAAACCATTGGGTAAGATCACGCTACCTGTCACCTTCGGACAAGCTGACAACTTCCGAACAGAGTAGATCACCTTCGATGTCGCGGAGTTTGACATGTAATATAACACCATCATCGGGAGGACAGCACTCGCGAAGTTCATGGCAGCGTCCCACTATGTGTACCAAGTGTTCAAGATGCCAGGACCAAAAGGGACAATCACTACTCAGGGAAACGCCAAGTTGGCAGTGCAGTACGACGATTGAGCCACACAAGAAAGTGAGCAAGCCCAACAAGACGCCAAAACCAGATAGCGCAATCAGAATTGTCCCGCTGACCAGTTCTAAACCCAACAAGATAGTCATGATCGGGACAACACTGGACAACAAATAGGAACTCGCACTCATCACCTTCCTCTGCGACAATGTGGACGTGTTCGCTTGGCAAACGTCAGACATGCCGGGAGTGCCCAGGGAGGTGATTGAGCACAAACTAATGGTGCGACCCGATGCCAAGCCAGTTGTTGGTATTTCTTACGATCACAGACAATTCCGCAAGCGCACAGAATATACCGATGTAGCACTTCACCCAGGAGTATCCTCAGGTATCAATTTCCACAGGGAATGTGTGTGCTAATTCCAGTTCAGGTTCATCCAAGGACACGAAGCTATCGATAGGCAAAGGATAGAGATGTTTCGCTGGTAAGAAACAATGTCTGCAGAAAGCTTAATTTTAATCCTAATGTGGTACTTCGGGCACTGGCCAGCCCGGTGCTCCTAGATATCGCTCTACTGCGCACCCGGACAGGGAGGACTTTGTGATCTTGAGGGCTATCACCACCTCACACCTACCGTGGGATGCGGAGCAAACATCGGAAATCAACTACCTAGACACAGTTGATTACTACTTTAGTGTTTATAACTCACTAAAGCAATCACTATATTTTAGTTGATTATAGTGAACGATGATCCCGTACTCTGATTAGGAACTAACCAAGAAATAATTCTCACCGAGCTAAACTAAATTACTCAAAAGATATTTCAATTATACTCAAAAGATGTTTATAACTCACTAAATTGTTCAAGTGGAGGGCTAGCCGGAGCCGACGCCACCAACCTGGGCCGGCCCAACAGGCCTCTAGCTTCGGGTAGGGCACTGACAGGTGGGTCCTTTAGTGGGTTGTGATAGTTAAGGTGGTTTTGGGATGGTTACACCTGACATGTGGGCCCTCCTTATCCTCTAGCTTTCTTAGGAGTGAGGTTTCTTCACTTTCTCTTTATTTTATTTGATAAATTCCTGCAACATATTATTCTCTAAGTACAAGTGGAACTATATTATTTAAAAACAAATATGTATTGTAAGCATAGCTAATTCTCCATTATTTTAGTTATATTGACGGTCGAAATTTGTCTAATAAAATCATGCTAACTCTAGAAGTTGTGAAACCAATTTTGTTGTACTCCTAAGAACATCCCATTGAGAGATAGATTACAAAGACAATGGGTGTACATATTTATACCCATAGGCCGATTTGAGTCCCAACTGGACACGACACAAACTTTCCTAATTAATAGACCAACTTAACCCCAATTTATTAGTCTTCATGATTCCTTCTTGAATTAATAGACCAACTTAAACCTCCATAGGCTTGTTGATCTCTTCCCTTAACCGTATCTACCAATAAATCTTACCAAAATTTGGTGTTAACCATACCATGGGTACCGGGGTTATCACCTCATGCCTTCTGTAACCGGAAAGAACCGTGAGATCCTACAAAAGCATCACCTAGGCATCCTTCGCAATCACCATCGCCATTGCCAACCCCGCAATAACAAGCAGAGCAGCAGCAAAGCCTGAATAGCCAGTGCCTGAACAACTAGAAAAAAATATACAAGAACCTGAAGCGCCTCAATAGGTGGAATTTTGCTTGGTACAACCAAAAGAAATTACGTCACGGGAAGTAGCTGGGGTGCCATAGTGCTAGTAATGGTAAGAGTGCACAAGCACAAAACAAAAGGTGCATCTCAGAAACCTATTTTGGTCATTGGTCTCTAGCAGAGCATTTGGTCGACTGCAAAAACCTATTTTGGCCGACATAAAAATTGATTTTCGTAGTAGTGGATGGGGCCCGCAGATGAAGGGACTTAATTTCTAGGAACAAAGGGAAATCAAGATATGTCGAAACAAGATTTCAGCAATACTAAAAGGTGGCAATCAAGCTAGAAAAGTGGATGGGTCAGGAGACAAAGGTTTATATAGGTTCAGGCCTTCTCGACGAGAAGTAATACCCTTCTCCTGTCCGGAGAAATATTCCGCCGAGTGTATTATTGATCTGATGATCTGGGGGAAAAGTTATGCTCCTAGGAGTACTCGGACCCGGGGGAGGAGCCGCAATTACAATGTACATCCCATATGCCTTATGCACTAGGCTAACAGATATATTACAATTGTAACCGACTAGAACTACGGGATATTTCCTTGACATAGAAGTTAACATAATACCCGAGTCCTTCCCTAAACATAATCTATCTCAATAGTCTATCTCTTGTAACCAGTCGGATATCCATGCTATACAGGTATACGGTACCCATAATCTCCACAAGATGAATCTACAAGAGGAGTAATATAACATGGCTCTTTTGGGAGAAAGCCAAAAACGACTAACAAGGTCTTTTAAAAGCACTTAAGGAACCATATTAGTAAGTATGCCACACTGAGCCCGCGATAATATATATACTTCTTTCGATATTTATACAATGTTTATCGTACCAGAAGCGACGGTGCCGAAGCACCAATACCATGTTTTTGACCACCTCTAGTACTAACCTATTTTCTAATATCAATATTGTAGTACGTACACTTTAGACAAACACATATAGCATTACTCTTCATCTAACGGGTACTGTGTTAATTAGTTGAGCGGTGGTTGAACACCGTAACAAAGGGGAAGTCAGGTTCAGGTCTAATCATCAGTTCGGAATAATCTTGAAGCGAGGCTTGGAGAAGGCTGGAGATGGGTCATAGCGCCCGTAGTCGTTTGTCTTAACCATAAGGTTCCTTGGATGTACTTCGCCTGACGATGTCGCTCCCTCTCCGAGTGCAGCACTAGAATATTTCTGAATTATGACATGATAGTTAATCATACATTAATTCTTTTGCTATACCACATCTTTTGTTTTAGTGCGTCTCCGGAACTTTTTATAATTCAAAATTTAATTAATCAATGATGAACTCGTTTGAACATTCTTCTTCTTCGTGATTTGTTTATGGACAGCTAATTACTACTTTCGAATTCCATCTGTATATACCTTTTGATTCGTTTCTTGCGCTACCAGCTCCCTTCCTCCTGTAAAAACAGTCGTGTAAAGTTAGTGAGCTTAACCTAAAATTTAATTCAGACATTTGCATGTTCTAAGCATATAATTCCTCTATTTTACGTTATAAGATGTTTGGGTTTTGATTAGATTCTTGCATGGATCCATAAACGTGCTTCATATATATGTATGTTAGTAAATTTAGACCAGGGATGAAAATGTCAAAAAATCTTATAATGTAGAGAGAGAGAGAGAGATCTAGAGAGAAAGAGAGAGATCTTGAGATCTAGAGAGAGAGAGAGAGAGAGTATTTCATATAATATAAGATAAATTCTTCAAATGAAAATAGCAAAAGAAGAAACGGAACAATTAACAAAACCTGCAGTAAAAACTGAAAGCGCCGACGCTACGATGAGCAGTATAACGAAAACCGAAGCTCTATTAACTCTCCTGGAGCTCATCTTTCTACTTAATTTCTTTCCCTCTCTAGTCCTTCTAGTTCCTGATGATCAACAGGCTGCCACTCTCATCAACTCTGCCGACAAGGCACTGAACTTGCGCCAGCAGAACAGTACATTTCATGGCTTATATAGCTGACGAGTCGAGCAGCGCTTCCGTTCCATCTTGGCATGATAGTTTGGTGCGTCCAAATTCCCCTTAGTATAACGGAAAGCAAAAGGAGGATGATGAGCACTTGGCCTCCATGGTTTCTGAGTGTGCATCAGTCAAGTGTTAGTGGGTTACTAATATGCTATATCTCTGAAGGAGAACAAAAGGAACAAGAGCTAGCGTTAGTGGAATGCTTGATTGCTCCAGTTCTTTATGGCCTTCTGCTCCTTGTCGACCGATAAAGAAGTGACAGGGGGAATCGATCACATCCGGCAAGCACCATGGAAAAAGGGCACCAATTAACAACAAGCACTGTGGTTTCCATGTCACTGGGCACCTTTGGTGATCGCATATGCATCGGCGTCCCCTTTGCATGAAGAAACGCCCCCATTTTAGTTCCATGACTCCATGAGCTTAGTGGTCCGTCCTAACACGAGCAGTGCGCGTGGCATCGACCAAGATTCCAGAAACTAGCAATTCTTCTGAACCGCTTTCACAAACATAAATCAAACAGTTCGTGATTCATTTTCAGTGAATTTTAACAGTGGCACGTACTACGACCTGTTGTGCTAGACGCTATGAAATTTAATTTGGACAATTAAACTTCAGTCTATTATATTGGAATATAAAGTGAGTTGTCGTCTTTCCCAACCAGGCTAAGCTTTTGGGTTAAATTGATTGGTGCATGCAACATAATATGGTATGATAGCCAGAGATCTCGAGTTCAAATACTAGTTGGCACACAATTAAATAAAAAATTCAGCCCACTTTTATTCTATGCTGGAGTCCCGATGGGACCTCATGTGATGTTTGTATATAAAGTGAATTGGCCGTCTTTACTCGTCAGCTTAAGTTTTCAGGTTGAACTGGTCGGTGCATACAACTCAATATAGTTGACTGGAGCTTAAGTTTGCACGAACATTCCCGAGTAAATACAATTCTATTCTTTCAAACATACAACATGAATAAATATGTTAATGCAATTCAAATTTTTTGGTTGAAAATTTTTATAACCAGACTATTACTCATTTTTCTACTTGTTATTTTATTTTCCAATTGCTTCTTCAATTGAGAGAAAAAAAACAGAGTAGTAAGAATTCTCTTATTCCTATTTAAAAGGATACTGTCCTTATAACTATGAATGACTGGCTTTTATTTCTAACATGACCACTTGATAAAATATGGGGGAAAGTAGGGGGGATGGCCGATAATACTAGAAGAATCATATTTGGCTGATATGTAATACTATTTCATTTCTCACTTTCAGTTTGTAACCATGTTTTGTTTTAAATTTTTACGCATGTAGCAATATGATTCTCTCAAAACAGAAACCTTTCATATTGATGCTAAAAAATATTTTGATGTTACTAGGGATAATATCAGACTTATAGCAAATTTGTGGAAATCTGCTAAATTATAAATAGACGATTAATTTTCATGTATTGATTGATATTGCATAGAGTTAAATTTAAAGAAAAATAATTGAAGCAATAGTTCAAATGAAATTCTAGTTTCAAAAAACATTTTTCTAGCTCGCTTACATATCAGCTGGAAATCCAACTAGTTTGAATATGAAAACTTTCATGATCTTATCGATACATAGGTCCCTTTAACTTTTTGTTTAATGGGTGTTGTTCCATCTTTGGTATGAGTAACATACATGGTTAAATTTGGAAGGATAAACATAATATTGGTTACAAGTTTGCTTTTTGGCTGTGAATTACTAATGCCATGAGCCAAAATTTTTTTATCAAACAAAATAATTCACCAATCATGAACATCTTAGGGTGTGTTATAACCCTTACGTCAGACTCTATGTTTTCTTAGCATATCCAGTTTCTTCCAAACGCAACACTGGCCGAGGATGAGCTAAGTAAGAAAACATGCATGAGCTAAGGAAACCCCGCAAAACAATTTCATCAATAAACCAGCTCACTGATGTACCAAGGAGGTGAACGCGACAAGAAGGGTATGTGTATGTATACTTGTTTTATGATAAGTTTCACACGCTGTAATACATTTCTGTCTACCACTACTCAGGGTTCATGCTTTTAGAAACCACTGGAATTTCATGGTTTTTGAAACTTTTTTTGTATCGAACTACATGAAATTTTAACAAATTTTGACTGATTTGTATAATTTTGACCAAATTTCCATAGTTTTGAAAAATCCAAAAATTTCAAGCGAGATAGTTGCTTCCCGAGATTTCCAAAATTTTTGGCATTTTGTAAATTTTGAACCGAAATTTCGATCCCGGCCACTACTACCAATGTACCACCAAGGTTTACAATCTGCAAAATAGACTCATATGGCATACTATGAGATGACTAGCGATAGAGTCATACAATCATACATGGAGGATCCCACATACATCAACCATACATCCACATCAACTTTTTTGTTGTGCTCCTATTCATGACAAAATTGGTCAATAATATTCCTTAACACATGGTTTACACCAATTCGAAGCCAAGGGGGAAAAGTAAGTCTGCCACTTAGACAAGATAAGGTTGGGAATCGTTTGAACTTAGTGGGGAATAAAGCGCACACCACTAATTAATCCACCTCTAAGAACTAGAGTTATGATACTAAAGGTTGATCAATTCCACTTGTGGTATTTGATGAATCAATGGGTCGGTCGTGGAGTCATATTCAATTTATATGGATTGGCTTAAGAAAAAGCATCATATTGTGTATGTTCACGCGAAAGCATTCATATTCATTCATGTACTTAAATCAGACATTGACATGGATCATGAACGGATCAAATTATGATACCCCATTAAAATTGTGATTATTTTTTCACTTATATGTGACAATATGCTCATGGAAATGTAATAGTTATATAAATTATATATAGAGATAGAGACACCCTAACCACACCTAGTGTGTGCAATAACTAAAACGCTCCCCTCACAGATACACACTCCCCCTCCCCCCCCCCCACACCCCCACCCTTACCCCATCCTGCACCATTTTCTCCCACCCACTCCTTTTTTTCTCTTTCTTGTTTGCAATTCTTTCCCTCTAATCTCACTCCCTGATTCTTCTTCCCACGTACTTCTCTCAGTAACTAAATTACTCGTGACTCCTGATTTTTCCTCCCACGTACTTCTCTTTACTTCTCTCAGTAACTAAATTACTCATTCCCGCATGCTTGATGCTTCTCGTAGTAATTAAAATACTCCTGACTACCCTTCTGCCAGTAACCTTATTACTTATGATCAACTTAGTGATCTTGTCACAAAATTTATCTTAGTAAATAAATAGCAAAATTTCTCTTAGTAAACAAATTACTATTTGAACTAGTGCTTCTCCTGATAAAGAAATAGTACAAGTTGTTGTTTTAGTAAATAAATTACGAATAACACGCGCTTTGTATAAGTAAATAAATTACTCACTTGTTAGACACAAGTTTTTACTCTGGTCTTCTATTAGTAAATAAATTACTATCATCTGGCCTTTTTATTAGTAAATAAACTTCTATCATCAAGTTAGAAGTAAAAACTTTTGATCTAACAACAAAATTTACCCCAATCATCTTTCAGTAAATAAATTACTCATATACTTTTTTTCATCTTTCTTCAGTAAATAAATTACTCCAAATTACTCCCTAGCAGCTAGAGTAAAAGATTTAAGAACACACTGTTCTAATCCGATGAATTGTTTGAACAAGTTTCAGTATTATTTCAATAGTCTATTCACACATGCAATGCGAAACATCAGTAGAATGCACAAAACTGTTAAAAAATGACAATAGCACCATCACTGATGGATATGCTGACGGAAACCGATGCAAGAACTATTATGGCGATGCAGATTTGGGCCGACGAGTCGGATCGATACTAGCACGAATCCAGGCACAGTTGACCGCAGGCACTCCTTGGTGCCGCTGCTGGTTCTACTTGGCCAGCGCCATTGTCGCCATTCAGCTACTATACCGAGCTGCAATTTTCACAATTTGACCCTTTCAAAAAATTTATTTCGAGATTGAATTGTGCCAAAAATTAATCTCAAAAATAGGTCATAGATGATATATAAAGACCCGACTGATAAGAAACACTCTATAAATCAATCATCTATCTTGGAGTAAATACAACTTTTGTGATAAAAAAATCTGAGTAAAAACTCATAAATGATTTATCAACCGCTGAATAATAACGGCTAACAAGTTTAACCAGCCTAAGCTGTAACTGTAGTCTGTATTAAGGAAGCAAAGCATATAAATTCTCACAAGGAACGTCGATCATAAAAACCAGTCGTCCTAATTAAACCCAAACAGCTTTTTGACTTTTTAGAGAAAGTCAACAAAATAAACATGGCGTTTTCAACTGTTGGGCACCTTTTTTATGCATCGTAGTAATTCCAAGGAATTTACTAACTGCGGAAAAAAGGATTTTAACGGTATCGGGCTTTTTCTATTGTGGGCTATTTTGCCTAAGCAAAAATACGCCTAAATCCCAAGGGACAACAATCAGCCACACCGAAGGTATGTTTTGGGCTGAAAACACTGTGTGGGCCTAGGCCCATTAGCATTTACTGATACCCAGCAATAAAATCGCATCGAAGGAAAGCTCTTTATCTTCTTCGCCGCAACAGCCGCTCAATCCCCATTTCACACTATAGTAACAAAGTCGCGCCGCCAAAAGCTAGGGTTCGCCGCTGCGCCGCAATCTGCCTCTCCCAAGCTGCCTCCCTTGGCTAAAATCATGCAGGCAACCACCGCCCTCAATTTCCCCATCCATTTTTGTAGCCCACACTCTCTATCTCCCCACACGATGTTCGTCAATGGCGGAAGAGAGAGAAAACATCCAGAGCCAATGGGTGCCTTCCGATGTTAAGAAACTCTCAAGGAAATGGTGGCGCACGGGGTGTTGCCGAGCAAGGAGATCATTGTATGGCGCCCTGCATTTGGTGTAACATCCTGAAAATTCAAGACAATAAAAATCACTAAAATTTCGAACTTTTTAAAACTTTTGCATCATGCCGGTTGTTATTGCTATTGCTTGCCAAACCGTAAATGATCACAAAGAAAGTAAAGTAAGGATCTAAAATTTAAGTAATAGATAAATTTACGAGAATATA